AATTTGTGGAAACTGACAGATAGTTACAGACAAAAATTCCTTGTTTCTGAAATCAAAAAAATTGCTGTTTTAGAATCAATATATATATGCTATTATGTCAATTTTAGATCAATGAACAGAGTTTTTGGTGCCCATTGTGCAACTTCTTGAATCTTGGAACTTTTTCCTCAAAACTCCAATTTGAAAAGCAATCTACTTTTCTGCAACATAGAAAAACATGTTTTTACAGTATCTTTGATAACAGCAAGGATGTTCAATACACAAAATCCAAATTCCAGAGTGCTACTCTTAGAAAACAAATAGAAGTTCTCTCTCCAGGTTTATACAGACATGATATTATGAAGTTTTCAGAATTATTTATGATAAATACATTCTCAGAAGTATACAATGCTTAATGCACAACAACAAGCAAGGAATTTATTTAGGTACTTGTATATTACTCACATATATTGAAGTTTCCAAAAGTAATTCTTCAATTTCAGAAGCTGATACATGTAACGTGACTTGACAGCAATATTGACAAATATATTAATTTGGAATATCACAGTGAGTCAATTCAGTGAAGTGGAAAAAAATAATTAGATGTTCAAAATCACTCTGTTAAACCTAAGACTCTACATATTTGTAGAAAACAGGAAAATATAACAACAAAATTCATATTATGGCAATTTCATGAAAGACTGTTAAGATTTTCAATGCCATATGTCTCTAAAAGAAAATTAGTTTTCATAACATTATTTTAATTTTCCTCTAATGTTTTCATAAATATGTGCAAATGTGAAACTTGAATGACCCTTAAAAATCATCTAAAGCATAGTAGTTAATCAAACAGCTCAATAATTTGACGTATTATTCCCCACTTTTGGTAACTAAAGTTACTTACTACATATAATTGTCAAAAACTAAAATTTAAAACTAGCACTTATGTTACATTGTTAATTTTCATGAGGTTTTTGTACAGCATTTTAATTACAAATAGGATACATGATACGACTGCAAGGGACACTGCCCAGGAGTATTCTGACCTGACATTCAGAAAAGGTATTTGGTCACTCAGTAAAACAATTGTATTAAAAAGAATTTCTAAATTAAAAGGCACTTCCTTTCCTTTAACACTGTGATGTTTTGCAACAAAACCTTTCTTAAACAAATACATACTACTCCTGCTTTGGACTTCATAATAGTTTCTAAAAGACAGTAATACCCATATTAATACACTCTTATAATACCCGCGGACTGAAACCCATTATATTGGTTAATTAAGAAACAGGTTACATTACCATATTAAGAGAAGGCTCCCCTAGTCTTTCCTGATAGATATTAATCACTTTATTAATAAGAGAAGCAACAAAGTATAGTTTTTACATCCAAGCATGACATTAGGCCAAGGAGATCTAGAAGCCAGGACTAGAAATCTTGGTATACAAGACTAAAACTCAGAATAATGATGTTAAACTGCAAACATGATCTAGGAGAAAATTAAGATGCAATTAAAGAATGTAAATAGTTAACTAAAAATAACCAAGTGAGGAAATACTGGATGAGGACACACAGTGTGTAGCTACTCTGGTAATTTGATGGTTAGAGTTACCATGAGTAAAAATGATCAGAAATACCATACTCTTGCATAAAAGACAACATGCTATCTTGAACTGAAGCTAATCTTTACAGTTTACTTGTTGGTAAGGCTACATCTGTAATTTCCGTACAGAACATTCTCTACTTTTTGAATAAAGGAAGAAATTAGAGGAATTCAGCAGAAAATACAGAAAATATTAACTACCAGAGGTCTAAAAAAGGTGGCAAAGAAAGCAAAAATTAAATAATCAGGAGTCTTTCAGTTGAGAGGAAACCGACAGCCAGAATGTGCATGCAAAGTGAAAGCGCATTCTGCAGGAATATTACTTGCTTGTAGTGACCAGAAGAAATCCTTTCCCTAAATCTAGCCCTGTCTTTTTACAGGTTTATCATATGTACTTCTCAGTACCTGGGAATTCAACTTGTAACTAAGACACAATTTTCTTTAGCCAGTATATTCCACTTTTTATCAGTTTCTTGCTTCTGTAAAAGCACTAAACAGTTAACTAGTTCTGCAATGGTATTATCTACTCCAAGCACACCAGGTGGGTTTAACAACCAAGTAAAAAGTTTTCTATTATGGCTCAAGAGATGCCTTTAAATATAGCAGTACAAGGTCTGCAAACAGAACTATAAGGAAAAAAGCTGTATATGCAGCCACCGTTTTCAGGTAAAAGCAAATACCTCACCTGTTTCTTCATGTACACCTTTACCCAAAATCCTTCATGTACATCTTTACCCACCTTTACCTTTACCCAAGGTGTGTATTGCCTTCAAAAGAGGTAACTTTGTTTTTTAGAGCAAATGTTAGTACTAAAAAGCCAAACAAACAAGCCCCCTCCCTAACAAATAAAAAACCATCACAGCAAATAAAACCCCAAACCCTCAATTCCTAAATTCCTTCTTTTTTTTTCCTCTTTACCTAGCTTTCCACACTTCCATACCTTAATGGCATTTTTTATGCCCCCCCTTGCTTCACCTGGCCATTTTCACTGCTTAAGATTTTGCATGTTGTAAAAGAACATTTGTTGGACACCCAGTCACATTTAAGCTTCTGACTTCTAACATGAGTTCGGGTTTTGATAGCAATTCCTATATACAAATTGGACATGTTATCAGAACAGATATCTTACTAGCAAACAAAGCATTTTGCTTCAGTATATTCTACCCATATTCTACCTCTGCATAGCTTAAGTACCAGTACTACTGTGTGAATTTAACTAAGATGCTGATATGAATAAAATTAATTCAAATATCTGGTTACAGAACTGAGCACTAAATCCATAGGCTTCTAAATATTAAAACCATACTAAAAATCCTAAGTTTGACCCAACATCACTCACTACATCAATTCATCCTTACATCTTAGTTACATCCTAGCAGTGATTTTACAAGCAATATATTCACCTCCATATAAAAAAAAGAAACATTGAAAAGTTTGTCAGACAGTTCAGAATGACATCTCCTTTAATACACTACACATGCTCACTCCAATGCAAACCAAGTTTTAACTGTCATGCTGTCAAGAAAAATGATAATTCCCTAGTCATATCTTATCTTTCCAAGGAAGTAAGAACTACAGAACATTCTACAATAGAAAATTGTATCATAGGTTTAATAAAACCTGCCGCTTGCATGAAAGCCCAGAGTTGTTGTATTTGAAGCTGCCAATGAATAAGAAAAAATCAAAAAACACAACCAGTGAACAAAATGCAGAAAAGTGGGAAGTATTTCAAGTTTTTACATGTCTATTCTTCTATTTCCTCAGCCATCTCTTAGCTTAATGTTATATAAAAGTCCACTAATAGAAGCCTGAGCACATGTAAAGAAGTCTTAGAGCTGCATTGGGTCATTAACTGTGATAGACCTTCTTAAGAGATATATCCATGAGCCTATTAAGAAAGGTCCTAACCTGTAAATCACCTTAAGTACGGTCCCTTATCTATGTTCAGGCATTACCTGCAGCAACAGATGTACGTTGTGAAATCTAGGCTACTTTTGAATGCTCCCCTAAATCTGGCTTCAAATTTGTTCTATTAAAAACCAACCAACCAACAAAACCCTCAAAACCAAGAAAATAAACCTCCAAACCAAAAAGGTACTTGTACTGCTTTGATCTAATGAAACTAGGTTCATTGCACTTAAGTTTTTCTTTTAGATTTTGCAACAAATCTGGTGGAATTACCTCAGTACTTGAAAACGTGTAAGTGAAACACAGAACTGCAGACTGTCTCCGATTAACCAAGTGAGTTAGCGCAGAAAATTCTCTGTAAGGGGAAACTGCCTCATTGGAAATGGCTTGAATCCTTCCATTCCCAGTGCAGTTTGCAATGCACACATCTTTGTTCAGGCTGGGAGGGAAGGAGGCTTCCCAAGGTACAGATTTTTTGATTAGTTATTTTTCCTTAAAGTGGTTCAATGTTGTTTTTTTGGTTTGCCTACAACCAAAGATTGTAGCCTACAAGGTACCTACAACCTCTGTGGGGAACTCTGCTCACTTTTGATTCCTTAAGTTACTTCAGAAGAACTAAGCAAACTACTTTAGTCTGTCCTTTCTCTGAATTATGAGCAAAAGGGGAAGAAAATAATTGCAAAACATTTAAACTGATCTCCAACAGTGTTATGATGATTCACATATTTTACTCAAAGTTTCTGCTTAATCCACAAATGTACAGTTAAAAAGCCCCAATGAAATGTGAATCAAAAAGAGCAGCAGTTGCATTTACTCTTACGTCACAGAACATAACAAACCTACTGAAGTCTCAGGCGTACTGCTGTGCGTCCCTGTCTGATAAGACTTTGCAGTTTGTTTTTCCTAAACATACCTAAACTGACACAAGCAAGTAGGTAAATTTCACAGAAGAGTAAGATGCAGCCATCAAAGATGTCGACATTACACTTGCAGGGATACTTGATCCTACTCCACTGCAACAAACCAGAGTGAAAACAACGAAACAAGTTGAGCGAACTGCTGGCAGCACCGCTCCTGCCACCCGGGGAAAGCTGCGGCACCCACTGCCCGCGACAACACAGACAGGCTGCTTCTCCCTCGCCTCGCTCCCGTCCCGCGGTGATGCTCTCCCGCTTCTCTCTGCCCTCACCTCGCTGGAAACTTTCCGCGGGGCGCGGCACAGCCGCTGACAGCAGTGCCGAGCCGCCGGGGCCGCGGGACGCCGGGGCCGCACTCGCAGCGCTGCGCGCCTCGCCCCGGCGGGGCGGCACAGCCTCGGGCACCGCGCCGGGCTACCGGAGCACGCAGCGGGTCCTGCCGGACACCCCGATGTGCCACCCTACCCCGCCTCCCCTGCCCTCCGCCCCTCGGACGGCGCCGGCAGGACAACTTTCCAGGGGACGCTTGCTCTCTCCCGGCACTGGAAGTGTCTCGGCTCGGGCCGGGCCGGGCAGGCGTGTGGGGCGCTTACCTGATGTCCCCGCTCGGCTGCAGGGCAGGGCAGCGTCCCCGCGGTCCCCTTCATGCCCGAGGGGCTGCCTTGCCCGCGCACACGTCCTCATCCAGCTTCCTGCCCGCGGGCTGCACCGCCTTCCCTCGCCCTGGAGGGGCGGGCGCCGCTCTCGCGGTCTCCCCGGCGCTGCAGGGAGGGAAGGAGGAACAGAGGGCGGGCACCAGGAGGAGGAGGAGGAGAAGGAGAAGGCGAGCAGGGGGCGGGAGACGAGCTGTGCCCTCCCTCTCTCCGCCCCGGCCGCCGATGAGCGGACGTAGAGCAGCCGCGGACGGGCCGCGCTCCCTGGCTGCGGGAGCCACCGGGGGCTCCCGTGGCCCTCACTGCGCCGCGTCCCTACCGGGTGTCCCCGGCTCTGGCGGGCAGGGCAGGGCTCGGTGGTGCCTCTGGAGGGCGCCCCGACCCCAAAGCTCTGCGCTTTATCGGAGCGAGCCGGCTCCAGGACCGGTGCCTGGGCTGGGCCGGGCCGGGCCGGGCTGGCACCGCCGCGCCTCGCCTCGCCTCGCCTCGCCCGCTGCCGGCGATGGAGTTCGGGGCCGGCTTCAGGGTGGGACGGACGGGCTAGGGAGGCTTCGGGGTGTGTGGCAGGAGTCGGGGCAGGACAGATGTGGTGGAGAGCCCAAAACGAGCTGGGGGGCGAATGCTGGAGGAGATCGTGAGAATAAGGTCTGCACAGTTCAGGAGAAGAAAAAGGAATCGGGGAAGAAAAGAGGGAAACTGAACGAGACAGAGAAGAAGGGTGGCATGCGGATTGGGAAGATGAGTGATAAATGCACTTTTTCCTGATAAATTTTGCAGGAAGGGTGTTCAGAAAGGCAGGGAGGAGTGAATATCAACAGGATAACAAAAGAGTAGAAAGGAGGAGCAAAGGATTGTCGGGCAACTAAGGAGAAAATATGTAATATATGTCGTCAAAGGCAGGTTTTGGGAAGGTGAAGAAACTAAGGAGATAAGGATTTGGAGGAAGCCAAAATTTTACTTGGCTTGGCAGGAAATACATGAGAAACTTAGATGATGGGTACAGAGAAGTTAGTGACTTTATCCTAGAGGTTAGTAAAATGAGTCACTGAGGTCACTGAGGAAGTGATTTTACCTTAGAAGGGATTTTAACTAGGGGAAATATTTTCAAGTGGAAGCATTGGAAAAGTAGGAAATAAGCACTGCCGGATTTGCAGGGTAAGAAGGAACTCTGAGATCAAAAGAACAATTCCCAGCCTGAAATAGCTAGTGCATCTGAGCAGAAGGCACAAAGTTCTTGTTTGAAATGAGTGGCAGTATTGCTTCTATATGCGATAGAAATCACCCTGTCCAGAAACAACTTCTGTAAGAATTGTGCAGTATATCTCACCATTTTCTGGCAAATCGTGCCATCCCACATGGTTAGTGGAGCGTTGGACTCAAACTCTCCAAACTAAACTCACCTTTACAACCAGTGTAGCAAAGTGGACCCTGACCAGCCAGAACTAGCAGTAAAAGCAGTATTCTCTACAGACTTGATATCATCCTAGTCCTTGGAGAACTGAGTTGAGCTTTAGCTTTTAGCCAGCCCAGTCTGAAGAATGTACAGGCATGCAGATTCATTGCTTTTAGTGTCTGGAATGTCTACTGCCTCTTGTGTTGAAAATGATGTGAGATATGATGGGATACAAACTGGGATACATGAAACTGGAGTAGAAATTACTGTGTGTACACTGAAATGTGTCATTGAAGTATTTACTTTGGAAATGAGAGGAAAAAATGTTGAACATCAAATTAATATCTTCATTCAGAGGGTAATTTATTGTTGGAATATTGCCTTATTTCATTGACCTCCTACCTTTTTGACCTACAACACTGAAGTAGTTCTTTGGGGTTTTTTTGAAATCAGAATTTTATTCTGGTCTATTTTAACACCTTAAATCTCAGCTGTTGTGAGATAACTGTAGTGAATTGTACTAAATTTATGTCTGGCACAAGGCTTGCGTTGTATGAGTGATTATAAGCAGAATATTATAAGCACAGGCTAGTCAGGGTATAGATTGGATTAAAAAAAAAAAGTATCCTAGCCTGCTTTGGGTAGGACTATATAATCTGTATCTTTCCCTTTGGTTTTCTCTATTCATTTTGCTTCCTGCCCTTTATTGTGCAGAATCTTCTTTCTTCTTGTGGCTCATCAATCCAACCACTGTAGTAATCTCTAAAACTAATTGTACATGTTTTGTGTATGTTGAAATTTTTATGGGAGTTGTTAACAGAGATCTAGCAAATGATACTTTGGTAGCCATCTCTTGCATAAAAATGGTATGCCAATCTGCACTTCCAGGTGCTGTTGTAGTATTGGAGAAAATAACGATGGTTAGAAATAAATGTTTAGCTGATTTTTCATAGGAGGTGAAAGTCCTCTGGAAGTTACCTGTGGAGCTGCTGCTCAGGACTGGTAAAAATCTAGTATATATGAAAGAAGGTGAGATCAGCATTTTCAAGTTATTTCTGAGCTTTTTCATCCCTTGGTTTTTTGTTTTTTTTTTTGGGTAGTCATTATGAAAATCTGTAGCTAATCAGGAAATCTTTTGTGAAAGACCTCTGGTAGTTGTTTGCTACCAGCTTGTATTGTGTTTAACAAATCTCTTCTAGTTCCTTGAACTAGAAGTTGTGTCTCAATTTGAGATAATGTACTGCAAATTATTGTCCTGGATACACTAGTAAGTTTAATCAAAATCAGTGGAAAATTCACTCATTTTCGTAAAAGTATGTACTTGCTAACAAATTCTATACTTGCTAACATAATCCATAATATACATGGATTTGTAAATCCAAAGTATTGTTTAAAAATTATTGGTATGGGTAACATTCTAACAGTGATTCTTTAATCACTGGGACAGAATTAGAATTGGATATGTTGATCACCTAGATTAAATGGTATTAATAACTTCTGCATAAGAATCTGTTCCATAGAAAACGAAATATTGTATTATGGATACCAGCTATAAACTCCCTGAAGAAAACACATTTATTTTGAGTGACTGTCTATTTTCTTTTTGAAGGCAGATTGCTTGTACAGTGGAATAAGCAGTGAGTGAGATATAAATGTAAAGATATTTGGGTTTGTAACAAACTGGCTAACATGTTGATAAGTTCAGGTTTGTGGCATCTATACCATCATGTAAACAGTTGAGTTCACCTTCTCCTCCCTCACCTGTCCCCACCCCCATCCACCCTTCACTGGCCATGTTGCTTATGTCTTTTTTTGGAATTCTACTCAGCTTGACAGAAGCTAAATAGCTTTCCCAACAAAGAAACTCAAGGTCGGAGTTGGGAATAGCTCATACTGACGGCATGGATCCATCTGTACTCAGCTGGCTCATAGCAGCTTAGCCATTGTTCTCCAAAGATGCAGCCTTTGGGTTACACTGTGACTTCTCACTGTGCAATCATCTGCCATGTAAATGTTAACCCAACAGCATAGCCCTACCCTTCAAAAATTGTATACTGGACTGTGAAATAGCCCAGTTGTCTCTGGGAAATCTCTGTGGCTCATGCTGCAAGTCTGATACCGTTGTTTAAGAACTTAAAAAAAGAGCAATGACATCCCCCTCCCCCCAAAAAAGATCCCAAACTAAACAAAAAGAAACCCTAACAACAAAACAAAAAAAATACCCCTAGAGTTCCTAATATTTTCAGGGATTATGCCTGAGTGATCAGCTTCCTTCTGAGAAGAAAAATCCTAAGTTGTTTTATGAGGCCATCTCCCTGGACACCATCCAACTGTGTAAATTCAAGTCTGAAAAATGGAAGGTGGTCTATCTCAGGGCTAAAGGATCCAACAGCTTTTGTGTGGATATGTATTGTATGACCTGCTTTTTCTGTGAGCACCTATAAAAAACATAAAGCAAGCCCGTGATAGCATATTAGCCCCTTCAAGAAATCCAGGGCTTTTTCTGAGTTCCATAGTCAGGTATTGGTAAGAGCTTTCCTTGAAATCCAAGGATAGAATGACAAGGCATTTCTTCACATTCAGACTCAGTGTCCATGAAAAGAGCCCAGCCTGGATATAAGCTCCAGAGGACTGGAGCCCATGGGAAACCTTCATTTGTGAAGTACGCTGTGCCTCTTATAGCCCTGAGCTCCTAAGAAATTCATACATGTTCCTCTTCCGCTTTTCTGTTGCCCATTTTATTCCTTATACTGCATCTGGAATCCATGATTGTGTCTCAGAGTTGTTGGTGCTCTTTGTGTAGTCAACAAAAAGCATCCTGAGCATTCTGAAGACTGTTTTTGAAGATTTCTGGCTACTCCTAATAACTCAACAGCCACTTAGGCAATAATATCAGGATTCATTTGTAAACTGGGATCTGAAGCCTTTTCTGGCACCTTCTCCATTGAGTGGCCCCAGAGTGTTGGTATTGCCTCCTTGCAAACCTTCTAGATCCAACCAAGAGGAAACACAGACAGGATAGCTTCCTTGGTCATTCCTGGCAGACAGTTTTTTGCATGCCTTCTGTGCCTCATTTTTTCCTCCTTACCCCTGTTGAGATTTTTTTCCTCTTATATTTGAATGTACACTTCCAAAGATTTCTTGCTTCAATGCAATGTAATTAGTTCAGACTACACATTTTGCTTGTCTTTTTGTACCCTTTAGATATGACCAATATGAATGCACTGTTAGCAGAATGAACACAGTTCTCATTTCTACCAGTTTTGTACCAATTTATATTGTATTATTTTCTTAGTTGCTAGTTTATCTCTTTTTTTCCCTCTGTCTGTGGAGAAAAGGATAAACTAATTAGATTTTAAATGCCATATTGCAGTTCTAAATAAGGTATTACTCATTAAAAATAACCTTTTATTAGGACCCATTTTGTCACAAAATGTCTTGTAGGCCATGCATTGTCCCTAAGTAAATCTTTTAACAATTTTTTTAAAATTTATTTTTTAATTCTACCAGCTTAAACCAAATCAGTCAGTGATACAATGTACCTGGATAAGTGTTTTGGTAGTGTCATGGTAAAGGTGGTTCATAAGCATGAAGCTTTCTTTCGTAAGCATAATTGTCTCACAATGATGTATGGTAAAATAGTGTATTATATTTTAACTGGTCAAATATGACAACTAAGGCTTTTCTTTTTTTTTAATAGGACTATTTCCTGAAATTATTAGAATCTCCTTCTGTAGTCATACAAAGAAGATGGATCTCTGTTGTGTGACAGTGTTCACAGGGGTTCTTGGATGAGGCAAGAGACGAGAACGTTGACTCCATGTTCAGAAGGCTTGATTTATTATTTT